ACGCGGACAAGGCAAGATATGACAAAATAATAATTTGTAAATGATCAAGGGTTCATGAGGGAGAGGGGAGTGGGGAGTGAGAGTAAAAATGAGGAGCTGATGGCAGGGGTTTAAGTGGAGAGCAAATGTTTTGAGAATGATGAGGGCAATGAATGTACACAGTGAATGTACACAATTGATGTACACAAATGCTTTACACAATTGATGTATGTATGGATTGTGATGTGTTGTATGAGCCCCTAGTAAAATGATTTAAAAAAATACAATTAAGGAGAAAAAAACCAAACTAACTGCCCATTAAGGAGGTGGGCAAAGGACCTAAAGAGAAGTTTCACGGGGACAGAAATCTGAATGGCCAATAGACATAGGAGAAAATATCCCCGATCATTAGCCACAAGAAAAATGTGAATTTAAACAACTATGAGATACCACCTAACACCCTCAAAGATATCCCAATTAAAAAAATCAGAAAGAACAAATGTTTGAGGGGCTGTGTGGAGATAGGAATGCTCATCCACTGCTGGTGGACCTGTAGGTATGTACAGACATTATGAAAATCGATTTGGCAATATCTAAAAGAGATGGAGATTGAGCTACCCTACGACCCAGTGATCCCCCTACTTGGTGTAAACCTAGAAGAGGCAAGATGCAAACCAAGGTCAGACATCTGTACTCCAGTGTTCATAGTGACACAGTTCACATTCACAAGAAGTTGGAAACAACCAAAATTTCCATAAACAGACGAATTAATAAAAAAACTGTGGTGCTTACATCTAATGGAGTACTACGCGTCCCTAAAATGCAGCCATGAAAGATTGAAGCACATTGCCACATGGGACCAACTGGAGGAAATCATGCTAAGTGAAGTAAGTCAAGCACCAAAGGACAGTACAACATGAGTCCTCTGAGGTAAGCTTAAAAAAAACGGGGCATAGGGGTAAAGCTACTATATACATATATCCCTGGAGTGAGGTCCAGTAACTATGTCAGGGGCCAAACCCAATTGAGGGATACATATGGCTCCCAACTAAATAAGAGGGGAAAAGAAAGAGAAAAATCTGACATGGGTTGTGGGGGAGCAGGTCACTAATCCACCCAAGGGGAAGGTATTGTTTATATTTCCACAGGAGAGGGAGAGAGAGACCAGGCTTCAACCTCATGCACCAAGTGGTGAATACAACATACCAGGATGTACCAGGGAATCAATAAAGACGTCTGTGGGGCCAGCCCCAATCCTAACTATGTGGGCACCCCCACCACCACCACACACACACACACACACACACGAATGCTCTTCAGAGGACAGCACTGGGGCTAAAGCTTGGGGAGAAGGGAGCATCAGATTAGTGCATGCAGGAGAAACTCAAAGGGATGGAGAGGAAGGTGAGGACATCTTGGCCCACCAAGTCCTAATAACAATATTCCTGCTTGGAGCAGACAATACACGGGGAGGATCTTAGGGCTGGCCCCACCATGGGACATGGCGTCCCTCACTGAACTATGGTGCTTCAGGGGACAGCAATGGAAACAAAGGGCGGGAATAGTGCACTATCTGGCCCCATCACCCTAGGGTGAGGCACTGATGGCATGTAGGGGGAGCAGACTGATGAAACCCCCGGGGAACACCAAAAATAGACTTGAGAGACAAAGTGTGGTACCCCATCAGACTCGACTGGAAAACACTTGTAAAGGCGAACAAACAGAACTTGAGATAATTTTAGGCTTTTCCATTTTTTGTCAGTGTCTTTCTTTCTGTTATTGTTATTTTGTGTTAATTTTTGCTGTTGTTGTTGTTTTGTTAGTTTTGACTTCCTTTGTTGTTTTATTTGGCTTTGCTTGTTTTTTGCACTTATTAATGTATCTGTATGTCTATCTAGATAAGATAGGCGGTATAAATAATTCAGAGATGAAAAGAACGGTATCAATGGTTCTGGGGTTATATGGGAGAAGAGGTGGGATAAAGGAAGGGGATGGGGAGACCAACCCAGGAGCAAGGGAATAAAAGTGAACTAAAATCAATGGAACGAAGGTCATAGGATGACTTGTGGGGCTCAATCAAGGGCAATGTAGCAGTGAGCAATTATTAAACCCTCATGAAGGTTGCACATGATGTTGGGACAAGGGGGAAGTTAAAAGGAAATCGAGGAAAGAACCAAGAGTCAAAGGACATTTATAGAGGCCTACATATAGGTATGTACATATGTAAATTATATATATATATATATAAATGAAAGAGGACTAGAACTATCCACTCATATCTATATGTTAACAATTAAGGTTTCAGATGGGCATTGGGCCTCGACTCATGTACTCCCTTAACACAAGAACACTTTGTTCTAACAATCTGGCATTCTGTGATGCTCACATTCCTGACACAAACTCTGAAGACAAAATGGGTGCATAAGTAAATGTGGAGAAGAAAGATGATGGTTCCCGGCTATCAAAAGAGATAGCATCTGGGGTTTTAAAGGCTTGAAGATAAACAAGGGGCCATTTAGCTCAGAATCAACAAAGCCCAAATAGAAGAAGCACACCAGCCTGTGAGATCATGAGGTGTCAATGGGATCAGGTATCAGGCATCTAAGACTCAGAATAAAACAATACCCAAGGTGACTGGGGAAGGGGGCATGGAGTCGAGACTCAATTCCTCTTTGTAGGCAATTGGATATCCCTCACTGAGGGGCCACTGGGAATTGCTGTATAGCACCGATGAAACTCATAACTTTCCTCTAGTTCTTTGGTGCTTCCTTCATCCCACTATCATGCCCTCAATTCTACCTTACAAATTGGATTAGACCAGACTATGCACACTGCTATAGATAAGAGCCCGTAACACATGGCATCCAGGATAGATAAACCCCTCAAGGCCAACAAGGAGAGTAGAGATAACAGGAGGATTTGGAGAGAGTGGTGGTGGTGGGGGAGCAGATCACAAGGATCAACCTAAACCCCCTCCCAGGGGGATGAATAATGGAAAAGTGTGTGAGGGGCAACAGAGGACATTGTAAGATATGTAAAAAGCAACCTGTAATTATCAAGGGTTCATGAGGTAGGGTGAGCAGGTGGGAGGGAAGGAGGGAGAAGAAACGGGGAGTGGATATCAGGGGCTCACGTGGGAAGAGAATGCTTTGAAAATGATGATGGCGGCATATGTGGAAAGGTGCTTGACACACTGAAGGAATGTATGGATTGTGATTAGAGATGTAAGAGCTCCCAATAAAGATATTTTTTAGAAAAAGAAATGAAATGGCATATTGCAATGGTCAAATTTGCTGCATAAGACCTTTTTTATTTTTATTTATTTATTTTTTAAGACCTCTTTAAAATGTTGGAGGGTAAGATGTCACTTTGAGGACTAAACTGTGCCTTACCTACACAATGAATTTCAATAACTTTAAATGCATATAAAGTTTGACAATGAATAAGAACTATTGTAGAAGAAGTGATGGATTTGAATTATGGTGTCAGAAAAATATATTAAAAGTACTGTGTACTGCGAGAAGAATAAAAATCCTGTCTTGGAAGAAGTAGGGCCAGAATGCTCTATGGAAACAAGGATGACAAGACCTAATCTCATGCTCTTAGGGCATGAGATTATCAAGAGAAATCAGTTCTCAGAAAAAAGGATATCATGCTTTGAAAAGCACACAGTGAAAAACAGGAAGACATTCAAGAAGATGGATTGACACAGTGGTACAACACTGGGCTCAAACTTTAACAGTTGTGAGGATGGCCAGGAGCTGGCTGTGTTTGGTTCATTGAACAAAGGGCCACTTTGTTGTTTTGTGTTATCAAATCAGTTCCATTCCATAGTGACCCTAGGCACAATTGAAGGAAGCTCTGCCCGGTCCTGTGTCATTCTCACAATTGTTCCTATGCTTCATCCCATAGCTTTAGCCACTGTGTAAATTAACTTGTTGAAGGCTGCCCCTTCACTTTTCCCAGCTTGATTTCTTTCTTCAGGGACTGGAATCATTTGTTGGTATATCCAAAGAATGTAAGAAGTCTCACCATCCTTGAATCTAAGAGCCCTCTGGCGATACTTATTCCAAGACAGATTTGTTTTTCCTTTTGATCATCCACTGTACCTTCAATGTTCTTCACAAATGTCACAATTCAAACACATTGTTTTTTCTCTTTGGACTTCCTGTTCAATGTCCAGCTTGGTTGCATTGCTTGTGGATCCAGGCAAGGTAAAATCTTTGACAAGTTCAATCTTTTCTACACTTATCAGGATGTTGCCAGTTGGTCCAGTTGAGTGGATCTCCGTCTTCTTGACATTGATTTGTAAACCATACTGAAGGATGCAGTTCTTCATTTTCACCAGCATTTTTTTCTAGCCTTCTCTTTCAGCAAGCAAGGTTGTGCTGTGATATCTGCATATCACAGGTATTTTAGAAGTCTCCCTCCAAACTTGATGCCACATTCTTCTTCATATAATCCAGTTTATCAGATTATTTGCTCTGCACTCAGATTGAATAAGAATGGTGAGAATATACAACCATGAAAGACACGTTTCCTGATTTTAAAGCATGCAGCATTCACAAGGTTCCCATGAGTATAATGAAGTGTTCTAGTATTCTCATTCTTATCAAGGTTATCTGTCATTGTTGTTGTGGGGTTTTTTTAGTCACACACTGAAATGTCTTAGCATATTAAAAAAAACAGAAGTAAACATCTTTCTGGTATTCTCTGGTTTCAACTAAGAGCCATCAGACACCAGCAATGATATCCTTTGATCCTTGACCTTTTCTGAATTTGGCCTGATACTCTTGCAGCTCCCTATCGGTATAATGTCATAACTGTTTTGGGGTGATCTTCAGCAACATTTTACTTGCTTGTAAAATCCGTGATATTTCTCCAAAATATGAACATTTTTCTGGATCACCCTTCTTTGGAATAGGGACAGGCATGGATCTCTTACAGTCAATTGGCCAAGTACCTCTCTTCCAAATTTCCTGAATGCTCCAGTGCTTCATCAGCTTGTTGAACCTTTTCACTTGGTTTTCCATCGATTCCTGGAAATGAATTTTTACAGGAAGCTTGGACTTCTTCCTCCTGTACCATTGGTTTTTGCTCGTAAGCTACATCTTCAAAAGCTGGGAATCTGACTAGCTCTTTTTGGTCCAGGAACACTGTATTGTTTCGATCTTCTTTTGATTCTTCCTGCATCCTTCAATATTTTGCCTATAGAATCTTTCAGCAATGCACCTCAAGCCTGGAGTTTTTCTTGAGTTCTTTCAGTTTGAGATATCCTGCACACGTTCTTTTTTGTTTTATAACTCTAGGTCTTTGTAAATTTCTTTGCAATATTTTACTTTGTCTTCTTGAGCTGCTATTTGAAATTTCTGTTCAATTCTCTCCATGATTTCTTTCCTTTGCCTTAGTTACTCTGCAATTAAGACGTCTTTAATGAATGTTCTCTTTATGGTTTTCGTTCCACTTGAACACATTTATAAAAATAACCTTTGTATAGAAATTCCAACAATGCTATTAATAATTTGATTACTGAAAGAAAGTTAAATATTCTTTGAAATTCTTTTGTGGGAATTCTACTAATATACTTCTGCTGTTTTTTTTAATCATATTCAGATAGCTAAGTACACATATGCTTCCTCTTGGAATTGTCTCAATAAAGCTTTCTTTTTTCTAGTATGAAGTTATATAAATATATAGGTTCCTAGGTAATCTATTGTCTCATATAATGCTCAGATTATTAGCCCAAACAAAGTATAAGAACCATATGTTTACATCATCTGATGCAGCAAATGTATTTGACAATATCTAACACCCAACCCTAATAAAAGTTCTCAAGTAGAAAGGATTAGAAGGGAAAGTCCTCAAGACAATAAAGCCAACAATTAAAATATCAATAGCCAATATTACATTCAATGGAGAAAAACTGAAAGCATTTTCACTAAATAAGGGAAACCAATGTGAATGTCTTTCAACCCCACTCTTACTCAACATTGTGCTGGAAGTCTTAGCCAGGATCAGAAGAAAACGGGAAGAAATCAACGAAGTACAAATGGGTAAAAACAAAGTGAAACTTTTTCTATTTGTAGATGTCATGATTTCATATAGAGATATGATTTCTATAGATCATATAGATGCTATGATTTCATATAGAGAGAATTCAAAGGGCTGCACAATAGAATGATTAGAAACAATTCAGGAGTTTAATAGAGCAGCAGAATATAAGATTAACAAGCAGAATCAATGGATTGCTATGTACCAGTGATGATAATACTGAAAAAGACATTTAAAAAACCAGCATTAACAATAACTGCACAAAAATTGAGAAATGGAAGAATATCCCATGCTCATGAATTGGAAGACTCAATATAGTCAAGATGTCAGTTCTGCCAAAGGCACTATATAAGTTTAATACAATCCCCATACAATTACCCTCATCTGTCTTCAAAGAAATGGAAAAACTTATTGACAACTTCATACGAAGAGGGAAGAAGCCCAGAATTAGCAGAGAACTCCTCAAAAAGAAGGACTCAGGCTTGCTCTACCTGACTTTAGCACATACTGTTGGCAAAACCGCATGGTATTGGTACAATGACAGATACTCAGACCAATGGAAAAGAACTGAAAACCCAGAAATAAAATCATCAACATACAGACAACTGATCTTTGATAAGGGCCCCAAAAATATCACATGGGAAGGTGATGCCCTTTT